GTTCTGTATTTAAGGGACCATCTGAATTTGTCTCCACAGGACACACACAGCATGTGGAACCTATATGTACAAAATGTGCATACACGGAAAAAAAAAAATTAAATCAAATATTTTCATGAAATCATGTAATTAAATCTATCTATCTATCTATCTATCTATCTATCTGATCTATTTATTTATTTATTAATTTATTGGTTTGCTTTCAGGACATTCAATCTCCATGTGCCACCATAATAAAAAAGAAATGAGACACTGTGACACTTATGGAAAATTAAATTTATGCTCCATATAGTTAGCATAGAAAAATAGATATTATGTTAAAAAATATAAGATAAACATTCCTTAACACAATATATTTTTATGTACTAAGTAGTTTATTTAGAACAGAGGCTATATGACACTATTTTGTTTACTGAAAATAAATATCATCATGCAAAAAGTTCAGACAATATTTGTCTGTTAAAAATTAAGCTCATTTTAAGCCACTGAAGAGAAGAGGAATAAAAATCACTTCTGAACTAGTGTGATTTTAAGAAAAGTTGGTAGACAGCTTCTTGTTAAATTCCATTTGTTGTTGCAGGACCACTTTTTTCTTTTTGTTTTTCTTTTTATAAAACCATAAAACAATTTAGAGTATACCCGGGTTTCCATCCAAAGTTGCGAATTTTACATATGCGTAAAATTGAAATATTGCATAAAACATTTGCGAATAAGCACCGTTTCCATCCAACGAGTCAAAGAGCTCAAAGTCACATGACTTTTTTTATGCGCATGGAGGAATTTATTCGGCAAATGCATTTCCATCTCCCATTATTCGCATTAACCCTTTTTTTTTTGCACAAGTCAAAAACCACCTCGCTAAAGTTTTAGCGAGCGCGTAAAAACTTTTTGCAAATTAAGGGATTTTTATTCAATATTTGGCATTTAATCACTCGTTTCTGATGTGATACTTCAAAATGCGCATACAAACGGAGATGGAAACAGCTATTATGATACACCATTATGTCAGTACAATTATTAAAGAGTGTAAAAGTTTAATATACAATATTACAATAAAATTATTTATTGAGATTCGCCAGCGTTTAGGCCTGTTCCCATTGAGTGGTAACAAATGTTTTCATTCCTAACTATCAAAAGTAATTTCACAAATATTCAAGCAGTAAGATATATCTTAGACATATCATAAGAGTACATTATGAAATTCACTATTTATGATCATTATATTTTATAGCTGGATTTTGTCAGTGCATTGGCATTTTAAACTTTAGTTTCAAACGTTAAAAATACCAATTTAAAAAAAAAAATCAAGCATCCATTAAAACAGCTATCCATTGAAACCATCTTAAATCCATTAACTCTAAGCCTAGCCAGTGATTTGGCATTAAAGACACTGTCAACTGCCCTTGCTCCTTTTGTGACGCACAGAGTGGCACGGTTTGAATGTACTGACACCGTCATCACTAGTGATGTAATTATGAACTCATCAATCTGTGGGTGGGCTCTTGCTGTTGTGTGTCCTGTTGCACATGGGAGATATTCATGTATATAGTTTAACTGATCTAACAGTTGACATAATTAGAGAGTATGAGATGATAGCCTTCAAATATTACAATTATTGCATCAGTGCTTAATGAATGGACACTTTTGTTTGTTTGTTATGCTACATTAAAGGGATAGTGCACCCAAACCTGAAAATTATTTCTGGTCAGTTATTTAGTCAACCTCACTTTGTCTCAAACCTACATGACTTTCTTCTAAGCCCAAAAGAAGATATGTTTAAAAAAAAAAAGAACTGTTTTTTTCCATATAATGAAAGTCAGATCCAACTTTTGTGATGAAAGAAACATGTAGGAATGACATGAGGTTGAACAAATGATGACAGAATTTTCATTTTTGGGTGAACTATCCTTTTGTTTGGGTTTGTAGAATATTTTGCCTCATCTTTTTATTCTGTCAGAAATAAGAGATTCACATTGAAAAACAGTGACTGGATGTCTGGGGGAAAATGTATGGATTTTAAATGTGTAAATTGATATTCTGTTATTATATTCTAAATGTCCATGGTGTGGAAATATGCTATTTCATGATGAGCTTTATCGAAGGAAGGGGTTTTAGCCATAAGAAAACAGCTAAAAGGGAACCATGCATTATATTTTTGTGGTGCAAGAAGTACCTAGGAACTGTTATTCAACATATAATTTATTGGTTTAGGCTTATCACTCATGTTTTCTATATATTGCATCGTCAAGAGCGTATACATTCTTCTATAAATCAATTGATCCATACTAAGTAAAATAATGTTTTATTCCCTCAGAGGTGCAATAGACTGATGAATTGTTCCCGTTTTCATTCGTTTTTGATTTGCTAAGAGACATGTTCAGGGAATGGAAAGATGTTTTTTTTAAAGGTGCTGAAGATATCGCAGATGTTCTCACGATCTTCATTCATTCTATGCAAGTCCTTTGTTTATCTGTGCCTGTCACTGGCATGTGTCGATTTCATTTTAAACAGCACTTGAAGGGCCATGAAAATGAAGCCCTTGGATATTTTTTTGACAAACATTGCATGAATCTCAGGCATTTATTATAACCCTTTGCCTCTTTTGTTGCTGTTACTATACTGTTGTTATAAGTATTGCATTTGTTTGTTATGCTAATTCATACTGTTTTAAAGTAGCAGCTACATTTTTTTTACCACTGTCAATACAGTAAGTAAAGAAAATTATGTAAAGTATGGTTATAAACAAATAAGGCAATGTATCCTCTGTATCTGTGAAATGTAGATGCCATGATGATGATTTATTGGGATAATGGGATTTAATGGGATCACCAAAAACCAAAAATGATTTTTGAAAATGTAGCTTGCTTATAATTTAATGTCAAAACTACCATGAAATCACGCTTCCCCTCTATTAACAGATGTTACATTTGTCCAAACTATATTATTTATATGAGTGGAGTTCTAACAATATGGCTATCAAGATTAGGAGGATTAAATGCTCTTAATTTTCACCCCAAAATGAAAATTCTGTCATCATTTACTCACCCTTGTCTCATGACTCTATGACTTTCATGTCCCTCATAAACCAAGGGTTTGGAATTAATTGAGAGTGAGTTAATGATGACTTATTTTTTATTTTTATTTTTTTTTAAGTCCTTTAATATTTCAAAACTTGTTATATGTGCTTCTCTTTCCAAATTAACTGTGATTTGTTTTTTTTGTTTGTTTTTTTGTTTCTCTGTGTAAACATGCCTTATGTACTAATTTTATTTTCAGAGATAAATATAAAAAAAAATGAAATCATTATCAGATATGTCATGGATTGTGCAGGTGTTTTCAATCATTTGACATCAGAATTTCATGTGGGATCATAGCTACACTGCTGTGCTCAATGAAGTGTTCAATAGAAGAAAACAAGTGAACCATTTTGAAAGTATGTTTCTTCTATAAGCAAACATATTAACATAATAGGCAAAATTAAAAAAAAAACAAATAAAAAGAATATTACAAATGCATACACCTCTCGGACCCTTTAATTTACAAATATTTAACCACAAACTTAAAGTCGCTTGCAAATATGTCATTAACATGGACATCAACTCTAACTTGGCATTTTAGAATTAAAAAAAGGAAAATCCCTTACAATACCCCAGACAGAATGATATGCTACAATTTTGAATCATACTTCTGTGAAATCCTGTGAAATTCACAAATGAATAAATTTGTGGCAGAAGCTATTTTTTTAATGATCATAATTAAGTTTAAATTGTGAATGTTGTCTGTATATTTTAGTTGCTGCATATTTTAGGTACTGTTGATGAAGATTAGCTGTATAGCTTCCCAGAAAATGCAACTCGAGTTTATGAGGGGACAGGATTTTGCTATAAAACTATGTTTCCCATCAATGTAAGAATGGAAATGATGATAACATTTCTAGACAAAGCATTAGTTACAGACTTACTTCACATCCATTGGCTGAAAATTTGCTGAAAATGTATTCACCCTCAGGTCATCCAAGATGTAGAATCGTAGTTTTTTTTTTTGTTTTGTTTTTTTAATCAGAGCAGATCTCAAGAAATTTAGCATTGCATCACTTGCTCACCAATGGATCATTTGCGGTGAATGGGTGCCGTCAGAATGCCGTCCAAACAGCTGATAAAAACATCACAATAATCCACACGACTCCAGTACATCAATTAAATGCTATTCATTTAAAGCTTTGCATTTTGACAGTAAAACTCTAAAAATTATTTGCCAAGTGCACCCAAAATCGAGAATTTATAAATTCCAGTGTTGACTTTTTGTGTTAGAATTGTTTGTTTTTTCTTGTTAAATTTGTGCATTTTATTCATGTTTAGGCAGAATTTCACAGAATAAAAGTGGCTTGCTAGATGCATGATGACAGATCCAACACTTGATTTGCCAAAATTATTCAAATATGATTAAAACAATGGAATTATTGTATCTTAATCACTTGGTTAGTATGCAATTCTAAAAAAAAAATAAAATAAAATAAAAATAGCATATGCATATCACTTACAGTAATGATAAATAAATTAAACATCCAATTTTATTTACTCTAGTTATAAAAAATTTAGACCTTTTTTGTTATTTATTTTATTTATATCACTTATGTCATCATTTATAAAGCATAAAATTTTAAATTAATTAGTATGAGGTTTTTATGTAACTTTTTTTTTTTTGCCAAATACTATATTCTAGCTTCTTGCTGTAGTTCAGTACACTAAAGGCACCAGCACGAAATTCTTTGTGAATTCGCCTAATTGTGTTTGTTTGTTTGTTGTTTCTTTGTTTATTACAAATAAAGACACATACATATCATCACTGCAGAGAATGCATGAGTCAGGGATAGTGTTTAGGTTTTTATATTATATAGTGTTGAATTATTTGGCCATGTGTTTTTTTCTGAGTTTATTTATTTTAAATTTACTTCTTACTAAGCTATCCTTTTTTTTTTTTCATTTTAGGGGCCCGTAGCTTAGCTGGGGGGCGTAGAATGTACGGTAGGTCTGATAGGGCTCCTTTGTAATATACCTGTTGTACTTCATTTCACATCATTGTTTTGTCTACTTTCATATTATCTAGTGAAGCATTATTTTTATAAAAAAAATGTATTTGAGGCAAATATTTACATTTATAATTACAAATACATTACATAAAGTTAAAAAACTTCATTTCAACATTTTTATTTTAATCTTAGAAGGATTTCTTTGTCTGTTTTTAAACACATTTTTTTAATTATTATTACTCTTGATTTTTTTGTGTTGAAGTGTTTGATTTGTTATTTGAATTCACAGGGGATCGTGCATGAATACAGCATCAATAGCATAAATTAACCTGAATAACTTTTTAATAAATATGTGATATAACTGTAGTGGTCCTAAGTAAAAGTCTTAACATATTTATAAAGTCTTAACATATTCAGCCAATAAGCACATGTTATTTAAAAAGGGATAATATTTTTTTAATTTAATATTTAATTGAAACACTACAATATTTAAATGAAAATGTCGTAAAGTGGGATTGTAATCATTTAAAATCTTTTTTACCTCAATTCCAAGTGACAGCAGCTTTTTACAGTCACTAATTACAGTAGGACAGGGTAGCTGTATTTAGGAATGTACTGATAAAAATTTAAAATTATATAAATTATATAAACTGGAAAAAGTAAGATTTTTCACTAGAATGTTTCAATAGAGTTTTCAGAATGTTGTGTGGAATGATTTTAGTTGATTGTAGTTCCCTATTTAAATGGTCTCTCACATTGTGTTTATGACTTTTGGGGGAAACTCAGAATACTGAGTTTTCCTCAGAATACTGAAGCCTGATTTGTTGACATTTGTGCAGCTGCACAAAGCTATGGCATTTCAGCCCACCAAAATGGGAGGAGCCAACTGCCTATATAAGTTGGTGCTAATTGCCACTTTATTAGAATCTTTTTCCTTCAGCGTGAAGGTCATCTCCTCGCTGAGCTCTGAAGACAAAGAACGAAGAAGCCCGCTACTTGCTGTAGAAGAGCCCTTGCAGAGGAAAGACACTTAAAAGACTTAGCGCTTCTCCCCTGTGTCCGTCCAGCAACAACTCAGAGCAAATTTCCTCTTCTAAACAAGCAAATTTCTGTGCTGTTTGTTTCAAAATGCCACTCCACGAATGTGGTATCCTGTACGATCCAGTTTGGATAGCGAGCTCAACCTCACAAAGGCCTTTGAAGAGCTCAGCTTGGGTTGGTCGACCGCAGAAGAGCCCGTCCACAGCTGTCTGGATGAATGGTATCTGCCAGGGTGCCGGCAGTGAGGCTCCCGTCAGAGACCAGGACCATTCTTTCCCAAAGTTCATGACGAAATAACCAAGTCGTAGCATCTCCCCTACTTTGCTCAAGTCAATTCTTCTGCTTTGACCTCCATTGATGGTGCTGAGCAAAAGGGATATGAGAAGTAGGGCTGGGACAATAAATCGATGCATCGCGATTCGTGGATCGATTCTGAGATTTTCGGAATGCATCATGATTCTCTCTCGAATCGATTATGAGCTTAGTTTTTAACAGCAGATGGCGCTCTAGGTTAGTTTTTAACCGCACACTCAAATGCTCATGAAGAAGAGCGCTTGAGCGTTCGGCTGAGTAATGTAAGTGGTTAAATTTACTTGCACATCGGCTTTTATGCTTCATGATGCGAGATTAACGTAAACACAGCCCACTGTAAACATCCTTGTAATTCGCTTCAACCTTTTCAAACTTTATGAATGGTTATTTTAGGTTCAAATGGTGCGTGTGTGAGGAACTGGAAGCAAGCAGAATACGGCTATTTCTAAAGCACCCAGTGCCATCTGCTGTTAAAAACTAAGCTCAGAATCGATTCAAGAGAGAATCGCGATGCCTTCGGAAAATCTAAGAATCGATGCAGAAT